ATTGGGATGTGGAATTAGTGCTTCAAACATTTAATCCTTTTGTTGCAGTTTCTATTCTATAAATCCCTCTAAGTCATCAAGGCAAAAAAGATATACTACATTGGCACTTCAATAGCAAAGGCATCTTCACAGCGAAATCAATCTATGAGACTATTGTTGCTCATATATAGAAGTCTACGTGTTGCTCTGAATCCAGTGGGATGTTTTTTCTTCTGAAAAAATGTGGGATATAACATGGAAGTTGCCTATCCAGAACAAGGTCAAAAACTTTATATAGAGGTGTTTGCAAGGTTTTATCAGGTCTATGAAGAGACTTCAGATAAAGGGATTCTATTGTATACCTTCTGTGATTCTATGGTGACTCTGAAGAATATCGTGAACATCTGCTTTTCAACTATCTAAGAGTTAGGTATTGCTTGAAACGTAGCGGGCTGCATTGGAATAAAATTAAAGAAATGCCAAGCTTAACCTTAAGAGAGTGGTGGGCAGATATCTACAGTGACTCAAAACTTCCTTGCATGAGAGAGATGATTAGTCTGACAGCATACCCCATGTGGTGGCTCTGGAAGACTAAGAATGGATGGTTATTCGACAAAGAGAGATGTTCTGAGCTTGAAGTGATTCAGAGAGCTAAAGAGAACTGGGATGAGTTCTATGATGTTTGCCTTTATGAGAATTTATCTCATGGAGTGAAGTTTATAAGCAACCATACAACTTTCGATAATTTTTCGCCAAGAGTAGGTCATATTTCTCTTTCTGCTAGTGTTCTACCTACTACAGATGATGTATTATACTTGTTGGCTCTGCCGACAGAGTGGGTGTTTGAATCCATTGTTGGGAGGACTCATTTTCTTTTGTTGGGGATTAGGTTAACTTGCTACCAGATGGGTTATTGAGCTTGCAGTCCAATCTAGGTGGAAGCACCTAGTCAGCAAAGTAAGTAAGAAGGGTGTGGTTAACCTCCTGAACAAAAAGATGATGTTCGGTTGGCACATCAACACGGTAGCTGAGGATATATAGTATTTCCTACATTCCTTCTTTTATTGCTACTTTATAGATTTTTGTTTCTAGTTCGGTTGTTTGTTCTTCTTTAGCTGTTGTCCTCTTCGGTTTGATTAGTCATTTGGGATGTGTGTTTCAAGCTCTAGACTAGTGCTTCGAGTCGTGCACTTTGTAATCAGTTGATTATGCCATGGCATATTGTTTGAGTTTATAACATGTTATGGTTTAAATAAAAAGAGTAAATTACAATTTTAGCCCTGTATATTTTACTACCTTAACTTTTTCGTTCTCTTCGAATTGCGTTTTTTTATTTTCTTCCTGTATGTTTGCAAAAAGGTTACAAAAAGATCTTTTTCATACATAAGGGACGAAATTGAAACCTTTTTTTGCAAAATATAATCGGACATTTTGGTTGCGAAAAAGACATGTAATCCTTTTATAAACATACAGGACGAAAGTAAAAAACGCAATTCCAAGAGAACGAAAAAGTTACAAGACTAAAATTGCATTTTACTCACAAAAAAGATTAACATATTTTTTCAATTTTTTTTTCGAGGGGAAAAACATTGTCGGCTTAGCTTGCTCATCTCCTTTCCCTTAAAAATGTTTGGTTTCGTTTTTTGGTCACTCCAATCATTGTTATTTTCTGCTAACCGTTAAGGTCGATGTGAATTGATGATCGTCGGCCGATCCTTATGAAGATTATGCGTCACCTTTTGGTCTCCAATAATAATTACAATAATAATAATAATTATTATTATTATCAAGGTGGGCCGCATCCAAAGCATAATAGCGATCAACTTTCTCCCCTACAAAATCTCCCTCATCATTGGCTCATCCCTTTCTGAATTATGTCAGAGAAACACCAACATAGGCTCAAGATCATTATATTAGTACATTCTATTACTTGATTGCACGAGCGATAATACAGCAATTATTTCCATTTGTATTTATTAGATGGCAATTACTGGAAATTAATATAAACTAATATTCGACTTTTTGCATTTACACAGATATAATAAAGTACTATAAGTTATATATATATATGTATATATAGTTTTAAAATTATAAATTAAATAATAGTATTAAACTAGTAATCATCCTCTGCAAATACACAGATGTTTATAAAATAGCATAAGTAATATGTGCAAATTTAATTTTGAAATTCTAGATAATTAACGTATCCTCTTTTCAAGATTTGATCATTAGTAAAAAATAAAATCTATATATATAATAAGATTTACCATTTTTAAGAAATGGCAGGTCAACTCTTTGGTCAAATTCAGACATCATTAATTAGTTTCCTTTAATGGTAATTATTTTTTTAATTTTTTAATAATGACGGAAAACTCACGGGAAAAGCGCCCTTTTTTCAGGAAAAAAAATTAATAGCCTTTCTTCATTGAACAGAATAGAAGACCCATTTCGTTGCTAATATGAAAAAGCGGCCCGTTGTTTTTGGAAAAAAAAAATGAGTTTGTTTTAATTACTTAATACTTCACGGAAAAAGTGGCCGGATTTATTTTTTTTTTTTTGGAAAATTGAAATTTTTGGATAGGATTTAAAGAAACAAATAATCCCTTATATAAAAGGATTTACTATTCAAAATACATATTATCCAGACTTAATTGTCACATACAAAATGCATTAATTGTCAATGATGAGTAAACAGCCCGCAGATTAAGGTAACGAAATAATTAGTTCGAATTTTGCGCAATTTAAAAATTATCATTTATCAACTAAAACTGCACAAAAATGAAATTTATTATACAAAGGTTCCCGAAATAAGAACACACAAAATAAAAATGACAAGTGCAATTTGCATGAATATTATTGTAAAAGATATTTGTCATATTGAATATTTTTTTCAATCATATCTATAATTGCACTAATATTACAGCTAAAGATACATATTTAATATTTTTTTCAATCATATCAACAAAGGGTCTTTATATTTGCACTTTTTTAAAATCTATTATATTTTAGTTATTAATTAAAATTTCAATGATTAACTATTTGTCTTTATATTTCAATGACAAGTGCGGATTGCATTTACATATGACATTGATAGCTATTCTGTTAACAATGTTTTTTAGAAGATTTATTAGATACATACGAATATAGTTACAGACGAATCATTTTGATTTTATCATGATTCATTTTTTATGGTAACGGTTTTGTGGAGTATTTTATCTTCATAGTAACTTATTTAAAAATGAGTGATTTGGAGTGGAATTCAAATCATTTTGAACTTAACAATATTTATTTAGTGATTATTTTTTCAATATCTTCTTATGAATCTATATCTATACTTATATAATAAGTCATCATATTTGCTAAATTTAGTAGGAAGAAAAGTCAAAGGACAATTAATGCATTCTATTTCCATCATTTTTCCAATTGTATTATTATTTTATAGCTAAAAAATCGGTCTGCATTAATTCCATCCTTAATTTATGTGTTTTGCAATTAAATCGGACAGATAGACTCCAAGTAAAAACATATCTCATTTCAAATTTAAATTTAAATCTTAAAATTTCTTATTATTTTGTTACATTAAAATCTTAAATGAATCGTTTGTCATAAAATCAGACAAAATAATAATTGCTAGAATTCAAGTAAAAAAATGTCTCATTTAGAATTTAAATTTTAAAATTCTTTATCATTTTGTTACATTTCTAAATGATTTTTTTCCCATAACATCAGACGAAATTAATAATTGCATAGAGTTCAAGTATGATTTCGAATTTATATCGAGGAGGTTTAATAATAGCATAGAATTTCACAGATGTTTATTTATTATAAAAAAATTAAATTCTAAAAAAACATTTGTGTATTTTTTGTAAAATGTTTGTACAAATGTTTTACTTTAAATTTATTTACAGAATTTAAATTAATTACATTAATAAATAATATTAACATGCATTAAATATTTTAATTACAAAAAACAAAAAGAAGAAGAAGACTATATCTATAACTTGTATAAATAATAATAATGAAATTATATTACAATAAATTTTATAATAAAATATTATGAGTATTATAAGAGGAACAAGATTACGTAAAATTGTTATTTTTCTTATATCAAGGAATAAATATATATAATGAAATCAAATTTATAGTATTATAAACATGTGAGCGAGATAATATATTAATTAATTTACGGGCTAACGCTACCGGTCTCAGGTTTAATGTCTCGACAAAAAAGATGACGTTGATGAAAGAGGTAAAAAAAATAGATGATCAAACTCTATTATTTTTTAGGCCTGAACTGACAAGCCCTATTGTTCACTCATTTAATATCGTGAATCGGACGAGCTACTAACTGACAAACTCTGTTGAAATGACTAATTTAATACTTATGTCCCGTGCATCGCACGGACTACGTACTAGTAATATAAATATAAATTATTTAAGTATATATGAATTCACTACACTTGATAGCAGATTTTGAATTTTTAAGAGTATTATTTGTTTGTGTAAGATTTTTGAAAAACATAAAGGAATTGTTTTTGCATGATTTCAGCTTTAGGAATAAAGAAAATGACATTATGCATATTTCTAAATTTACACATTTTTATTCCTTATTTAAGATATTGGAACAAAAAAAAATAATTTAAATATATATGGTGCCATGATTTTTGCACCCACACTTATATAAAATTAAATGTATGACAATAGCATGATATTATATGATGTATATCACAAATTAAGGTAATTTTTTTTTATAGATTTTTTGTTATGTTGTTTTTGTTTAATTCTATCACATGTAATAATAATAACTTTTTAAAAGTGTGGGAGTATGACATGTTTATGCACGATATTAAAAAACAGTTTTTCCATTCAGTTTCATTTGTGAAGCTAATATTTCATTTGTTAATTTATTTTTTATTATTTTGTAGGTACCATAGCAAAAGTAGATTGGATATTGATATTTTTTTCAATTTAAATTTGCAATTTTGTAATTTTTTTTTTTTAATTATTGACAACTAAAATAATTATATATCAATGTTTACACGTTTTACGTCAAATAAATAAAATAAAGTGCATGATATGATTGTAATGTACTGCAAAATAAGAAGATAAACATTTAATGTAATAAGATGATTTAGCTAAAAAAATACATGCAATTAATGACTAGGTGAGGTAACAAAGAAAATAAAAAAAAAAAAATTATTATAATATTTGTAACAGTTTTAGGCGGGGATTGAAAGGAATAAAATTGAATGCTGAAATTTTAGGCGGGATAATATAATTAAATGCACTGATAATATAATTAAATGTTGTTGCTCCAAACTATATATATATATATATAGGGGCTGGTTCAAATAAAAACTATGTCTGGTGTGAGAACCGTGAGAACCATATTTGATGCTATTTTTAATTGTGTATGATGCTATTTTTAATATTACATGGTGCTATCATTTTCATAAATGCTAATAAAAATTTTGTTGCTATTTTTAATCAAATACATCCTAGTTAAAAATAGCATTAAAACACAATTAATCATAGCAGTACATACAATTAAAAATAGCGGTTCTCACGGTTCTCACACTAGGACTTGGTTCTCATTTGAACCACATCCTATATATATATATATATGTGTGTGTGTGTGTGTGTGTGTGTGTGTGTGTGTGTGTGTGTGTGTGTGTGTGTAGATTTTAAATATAAATTATTATAAGTTTTATTCATGCATATAGTGTCAAAATTATAAGTCAGATAATTGTATTTTGTTTTAAAATCTGATCATTAGAAAATAAATAGTGTGTACCTATTTTAATTGCATATGAATTACTACATTAATTGCATAAAATGTAATAAATAATGTAATATTTGTAATTTTGAGAGATCATGATGACAAAATTGGAGAAAAGAACACGATAGTGAAATCAGTCATCTGATCTGATGCCGAGATAGAGGCCCTAGCCTTATATATATGTACCAAAGATTAGAGTTTACAAGTATAACTTACCAACTAAGTAACTAAGGCTAAAAGAGTAAATACATAAATATATAAGATATATGTACTCTAACAGCCCCTCTCAAGTTGGAGCATGCGGATTCCGAACACCCAACTTGCCAAGGAAGAAAACGAATTCACGCTTCCCAAGGACCTTGGTAAAGATATCTGCTAGTTGAGCGCTAGTAGGAACATGGCAGGTTGAGATGAGACCCTGGTGAAGTGCATATCGAACAAAGTGACAGTCGACCTCAATATGCTTGGTACACCCATGAAAGACACAGGCAGCAATATACAGGGCAGACTAACTATCACATAAAAGTTGCATATGCTCTTAGTGAGAAACCCCAAGCTAGACAAAAAACCTCGCAACCACTTCAGCTCAGAACGAGTGGTTGCCATAGCACGATATTCGACTTCAGCAGAGGAGCGTGCAACCGTATGTTGTTTCTTAGTACGCCAAGAAACAAGAGACTGACCCAACTGAAGAAACCACCCTGTAAGAGAGCGACGAGTAAGAGGATAGGTCGCCCAATCTGAATCACACCAACCATAGAACTCAAGATCACAATCGGAGCGTAGAACGATACCCTCACCAGGAGAACCCTTCAGATAGCCGAACCACACGAAGGGCATCATCTAAATGAATCTGGCGTGGCTAATGCATAAATAGCATATGAACATAGTATGACAACTCCGGCCTAGTAACTGCCAAATGAATCAGATGATCTTCTAAACGACGATACTTCTAAAGATCCTCCAACAACTCATCATCAGCAAGAGACAACCGATGATTCAGCTCCAAATAAATAGCAGCGGACTTACCTTTTAACAAGCCAGCTTCTAAAACAATATCAAGGGCATATTTTCGCTCACAAAGAAAAATACCAAAAGAATTTTGGCCAACTTAAATGCCCAAAAATACTTCAGAAAACCCAAATCCTTCATGTGAAAACATGGACTCAAAATAACTCTTAAAAGCGGCAATAGACGTGGAATCACTCCCAGAGATAATGAAATCATTCACATACACCAAAACATTAAAATAAACAGAGCCGCGATGAAGAGTAAACAAAGAATAATCATGATAGGATTGAGAAAAACCATACTGTGTCATGGCAGTAGCAAGCTTGACGAACCAACACCGAGGAGCTTCCTTCAACCTACATAGAGAACGACGCAGAAGACACCTAATCAGCCGCACCAGTCCGGAAGCCAAGGGAAGCTTTATGTACACCTTCTCATCTAAGTCACCGTGAAGAAAAGCATTGTGGACATCCATCTGATGCACCTCCCAATGCTTGGCAACTGCGACAGCAAAAATAACCAAATTGAAACCATCTTAGCCACACAGGAAAAAGTCTAATGATAATCAATGTCAGACACCTGATTGTTACCCAGAATAACAATACGCAATTTATAGTGCTAAACTAAACCATCAGACTTGTGCTTGATTTTATACACCCACTTATAACCTATCGCACGTTTCCGAGTGGATGAGAAAAAGCTACCCATGTGCCATTATTCTCCATGCCTGAATCACTTCCTGCATGTGTAATGCCCCATTTATTTGTGGTTTATTTGAAGTATTATTATTATTATTATTATTATTATTATTATTATTATTATTATTATTATTATTATTATTATTATTACTACTATTGTTGTTGTTGTTGTGATATATTAATTATTGCTTGCCAATTTGAATGTCTATATATTATATGTCTAATTGCCAATTAATTGCTAATTGTATATTTTGATTAATAATATTAGTATTTTAAAATCAATGTGCGTATTTAATGTATATTGTCCGGAGTTTTGTTTATTTATCGTGCGATCGATTGGAACTGTCGAAATTAGTAGTCGGAGAACCCGATCCCGAGAGCTGGATTTATTTTCGTGTGATTGAATCGGGCCTGAGCCGAATATATTTCGTGCGATTTTATCGGGCCCGAGAATATGCGTTTGAACCGAAACCGAGCCCGTGAGCCGATTTATTGTCGCAAACCAGCCCAACCGACCGGCCCGCGAGCCAAAAACCGGCCCAATGGCCCAAACCCGGTTCTCTCATTGTGAGCGTGATATTTATTTCTTGTAAACCAGGAAAGTCTTTAACCTAGTCTATGTATCTCTTCCTCTCTCTCTCGATCGAAAACGCGCAGCAATCTCTCCAATCTCCCTCCCTCGCTTGCGTTTCGGCAGAAGGAGAAAAATCTCATCGACCCTCGCCCTCGTCTTCCCCTTCTTCTGCGCGCACAGGCCGTCCATGAGCTATTCCCGGCGAGTCCCTGCCATCGGCGATCAGAACCACCGCGAGCTGCCATAACCTCCCTTCCCTCCGCGAGTTTCCCCCGTCTGCAACTCCGAGCCCTCCGCCGTCCCAGCGTCCTTTCCGGCGACCCTCCACCGCGAGCGACCACGGTGTGCTGCTGCTCACGCGAACGAGAAAAATGACCCACGGACGATCCCCGCCATCTCCTCCGCGAACCAGCGAGTTCCTCTGCTCGCGAACAACAACCCCTCGACGACCCCCACCCACGAAGCTGCTCCACCGCTCCTGCAAGCCCCGTCGAGGTCATTTCCGGCGAATCCCATTCACGAACAGCAGCCTCGGCGAACTTCTCTTCGCTGCACCTCCGCGAGCCGTCATCCTCAGGCTCGCAGCCCCTCGCGAAGGCCCCGTTCAGCCGCTGCTCCTTCCCCGGCGAGACGCGCGTAGCCGTCGAGCCCGTCGACCCGTAAATCCGTTCGAACCATTCTCACGCTTTCCGAGAACGGTATCGAGCCTTGGCCCTTCGTTGATTTAAATTTCGTGTTCCTTTAATGCGATAATCGTGCTCTGCGGATTTATGTGCTCAATGATGTTAATTGTTTATGAATTTGTTGTGATGTTATATAAACACTATTGTCGTGAAGTGCTCGTTGAACAATGTAATATATGTGTGAATCGCTTGATGTGAATATGTGCGATTATGTGTTATTATGATTTTATGTGTTATCGTATGTTCGGGATCTCTTCGATTTTCTCAAAAATCGAACGAGACCTCGAAAGTCGTGTAAGTTGGTGGATAATGGAACAATGTCGAGTCCTTGGTCTTATGAAAAGGCCTCGGACAATAAATTGTGTGTTGTGATTTACTTGTCAAGTTGTCGAGCTTGTTAATCGCTGTTTTGATGTTCGAATTTTTAAAAATAGCTCGCTGCTCGAAACGATGTGAAATTTTGAGGGATGTGTTATCTGTTCATTTCCTGCCTTGTGTAAAATTTTCATAATTTTTGGAGACCCGTAGCTATTTTAAATAATTAAATTGTGTTCTGTCCAGAATATTGTTAAATGCATAATAAATTCATTCCTGAGTAAAATGAGCTGAAATTTGAATATGTCATGCCTCTGTGTCTTATATGTGTTGTGTTATATTTTCAGAATTTTTAAAAATCGGTTACTGCATGGAAAATTCTGAAATTTTACTGAGAGTCATATTTTAGGTGTTTGATCATGTTTGTAAAATATGGGAATTTTTATAGTCCGTTTGGTTTCAGTTTGGATTTAAATTCGATAAACTGTTGTTGCTCGTTTGAATTTTTAAAAATAGCAGCAGTTATCATTTAAGGCTGAAATTTTTATAAGTGGACTTTGGCATACTGTATGTTGCTGTGTAAAATTTTCAGGTTCATTTGCATTCATTAAGTCTGAGTATGAATTAAGGTGCCCTTTTTGCTGAATTACTGTTCGAATTTTATAAAATGGGGTATTTTGAGTTTAAAGCTGAAACTTTGTGATTTTACATGTTTGTGGGAGTTAAAATTTTGTATAAATTTTCAGAGCTTAATTCGTAGGGTAGCTTGACCTTCTAATTTTATGCGATTAAATGATTTCTATTTTCGAACATAATTGTTATATGAAAATTTGGGAATCGACTTGATTTAAGTTTGACTTGGTCAATCCTTAGATGGATTAGTGTGAACTCCCTTGCGTGTTTTGGTCGAGTTTAGTGCCGAGTCTTAGTGTTCCAACATCCACAGAACTTCACGAACTACTTAGTCGAAACGAGTTCGACTAGGTCTGTCTTGTGATTTCTGATTTAAGACGAGATAGATTCTGATTGTAGGATCTTGTCGTAATGTAGGTGTCTAGAGGTGTTGACCTCGCCTCGTTTCTGGATTTGTGATTCTGTGAGCTGTTGCTGCTATCAGGTGGGTACACTTTTGATGTATTCCATATTTATCGCACCATTTATTTCGTATAATGTCTCTTTTGAAAATGAATGTATGCGTGAGAACCCTAGTCTAAGTAATCCTATTGGTAGTGCCTTTGACGAATGCATAACAGTGAGAGGTCACCTGCCCGTTGTATCCGGGAGGCGACGCCCTGATCCGTGTGAGTTTCGGGGGGGAAAAACATCTCCACTGTCTCCTGGAAAACATCCATGATCCGTGAGTAGTTCGGGGTGGACTCCCATGATCCGTGAGTGGTTCGGGGTGGGGGAAATTTTCCAGTTACGGCCTTGCCGATGTTTTGTCGGAAGGTTGTTGTATGTACATAGGAGGTTTGCGATAGGGCCGGGTAGGGGGTTTAGACTGTTGGATTCTATGCATACTGAATATTGTGTTACTGCTTTTAAAATAATTATGCGGGATAACTGTGCGATAATGGTGAGCTAGTTGGTTGCTCACCCCCATTATTTTTCTTGTTGTCTTTTCTCTTCCTTGTTCTAGGTTGAGACGAGCTGGAGGCGGTGGCGTAGGACGAGCGAGATGGTGGTCATATGTGTTTGAAAACCTATGCTTCCGTAAACTTGATATTTATTTATTTGCTTTGGATCATTTACTGCTTTCACTTTTCGAACTATGTTTATGTTGGTTGAACTTTGACTAGTGCTAGACCTTTAGAAATGGTTTTGAAACTTTTATGCATTATTGGGATTAGTTTTATTGTCAGCTCGTGCATGTGTAGTTTCCTTGAGTTAATGGATGTGTGTTATTTGTTGTTGTTCTTAGTAAGTAGCGCCCGTTTCTCGTTAAAGGTTTTTAACTTTGATTTTAAAAAAAAAAAAAAACTCTGATTTTCATTAATTAATTCAGTAAACTCTTTAAAATAAAACGGGGCGTTACAGTTTGGTATCAGAGCCAGTCTTGCTTTTCTGTAGACTGGTTCTTATGTGATTAAGTGTTCAATGACCATTTGACCACTCGCTTCGTCTCGCCGCGCCAGCTCAAGGTATGAGTTTTATTGTTTTGATTATTATCGATATCGTGATTATGGTTTGTTCTTTTATTGGGGCTTAGGAATTTACCCTCCGTTTGTACGGACTTGAACTCTAGTGGTATAGAGTTAAGTTCCAACTTTAGAAGAGTTTGTTGCGAGTTTTTGGGTTGGTGTTATCGAGTTAAGTTTGGTCTATAGCAGTGCACTCGTTATGAGTTTCTGTTTAGTACCATCGAGTGAGAATCATTCGTAAGCTATCTCGGAAGAGAAGGCTTAAGTAAAGGGAACAGACAAACGAAGAAGTCCTGGATGTGTGGATTATTCGGAAGTCTGTGACTATTGTGGCTAAAACTATTAGTCGCGAGTAGAACCCGGTCGATGGGAATCGGGAGTGGAGTCTAAGTGTCGGTTTCATGTTGATGATCCGACCACCTGCGCTTGTAGATTCGTGGATATCAGTTAATGGCTGATTTTTCCCTTGTTATATTTTGTTCGTTATTATCCGTGTATTTCTCGTTAGTTTGTCTCGCGAAATTATTCGTGGGTATTAGTACTCTGTTGTTGAGTTATTGATACCCTTTTCTTTTGTTATTTATGGCTGAGTTGTTATCGAATAAATTCGAGCCTTGACTTGTCACCCGAACCTTCATTCCGTGATTGTCGTTCGTTGTAAGAGTTGGTTGAAAAACCTCTTTTTGAAAACCTTTCATTGATGACTGTTTAGTCGCTGTTTTGACCCCTTGAACTCGATCGGAGGGCTTTGAACTCTTCTGATGAGTTAAAGTTCTATCTCTTATATTTCATCTTGAGCAAGAACCAAGTGATTATCGATTGTATGCTGGTGGATGTGGCCAAAGTTCTTCGTGAGCGCGTCCAATTTTGCTGGTTTTTCGATCTTGTATGTGATCTGTTTTCATTGTTGTTTCTGAGCCCTGAAATCCCGTCGTCTCTTGTTGTAACCTTCTTGTAAATTATAGATCAGCCTGTTGCCTTTCATGAGGAACGGGAATCGCGTGTTTATCATTTTTTTTTATTTTATTTTTTTTTTATTCTATCGAGATTTGCGCCGGAAGCCCGATCATTGCATAGTCAGTTTTTCGTGTAAGATTCATTCAGGAGATGCGTTCAAGATATGAACTTCGTGCAATCAAATTTCTGGAAATTTGCAGCAAATATTAATGTGCGAGCTTGATCCGTTTTCAACCCTTTTAACCTACCGTTCACGCCTTTGCTACCCGAGTGCTATTCCTTTGTCCTTGATTACTACCTTTCGCTTAGTAGTCAAGTTTGAATTGTACTTCGTGACCCATTCTTATTATTTTGAATTTTTGTTCCGTGTCAAATTGCTTGAATTTCTTTTCCTTGTGGAGAATTTTGGAATGGAGTTGAGCATCGAACCTCAGTTTCTATTGATCTTTATCTGATATCGAACCGTGTGCAGTAACTTCGCTATGTCGATGCGAAGGTCAACTTGAGAATACCTTAGCTTCGAGATAGACGGCGATCAATTTTTCTTTCGTGATCTATTTTTTAACTTTGAATCGAAGTGGCGTACGTGAGAATCATCGCATACCTGATCGGGAGGAGCCTCGACACCTTTTTAGGGATGTTTTGTTATAGGAGAATCTTTTAAGGAGGGTAGTCGAGCCAGCTGTAAGCATATCGTGCGGTGCAGAGCCGTCTTCGTTTTCGAATTGTATTCATAGTTATTCTTTGAAAACTTTCGTTCTTTTTCCCTTCGGAGTTTCGAGAGTGATCTTTTGTATTTCTTGACTTTTTGCAATCCTTTGAAAACTCTTGTTTTTGATTCGTTGGAGTTTCCACTTCAAGACTTGCATCCTGAGGTATTGATTAAGACAAGCATTTTCGTTTTTCTGCTTGTCTTATATCGTTTCCTTCGATTTTTTTTTGGTGATGCCATTCGGCCTGGTACTCCATTCGTACCCAGATCGGACTGTCGTGTTTTATCGTTGCTGACCTATATTCGAGATGCAATTGAGACAAATTAACTAAGGAGGCTTCGTGATGAGATCCAGAAACGTGAAATCTTAGCAGCATAGAAATTGAGCTCGTTTAGGACTGCCGGCACGATTAGCTACCGGAGATAGAGCTGACGTGACGGCCGACACTGTTAGTTGGAAGAGTCATGCGAGCTGATCATCTTCATTTTTTGATAATGACCGCTGTGTTGAGGATGCCGATATTCGTTTTCTTTGTATGTGATGTCTTTGTTATATTCTAATGATGAGCGGTTTTGTGAAAACCTCTCCTTCGAGCTACCTCAGATAGTGCGAACCTTGAATTAGAGTAATTCTTTTCTGTACCTCGAACCGAACGCCGACACTGAATGG